GTTTTACCTCAACTAACTCAAGCAACTGTTCACCAATTATGTAAGGAAATAATGAGCAAATATGTGGAGTGCTAGGACCTAACGGAAGTATTTACAGCAATGTTATTATTCTTTACAATTCCTGTCACTTCTGCAGTAACTGAAAGGTCCTTTAGCAAATTAAAAATAATAAAAAATTATTTAAGAAATAATATGGGCCAAACTCGACCCCGACATTTATCGCTAATAGCAATTGAAGACAAAACCGCATCAAGCCTGGATTTAAACGAAATCGTTGATACTTTTACGAAAACTAATGCTAGGAAAAATATATAAATATAATTGTTACTTAGTCAGTTGGTTAGGCCCGACCTTTATATAATAAACCCTTAAATCTTCTCTATTTCGTTTTATTAGCCAAACCTACACCAAGTATTAATTGTAATTTATGTTGTTACTGTTTAATATTTTTATTACCTGCCCTGCAGTGCACAAAAAAGGGCTTAAGTAGCTTAGCAATTCTTAAAGTATTTGTATATTTCATAAAACCTAATCAGTTTAATCCTCAAATTTGTTTTGATTAAATTCTTATAAGTGTGTGATTTCGAGTGATATAAACAAAACACCAAATTTGAAGGGACTTATCTGACCTTAGACAAGGAAAGAGAATATCTGACAAACACCTTGTATTGTCACAGGTATTGTAAACTGGGATCTAATAAAGAACTACTTTACATTCATACTTACGGTTTTAAATCTATTACTTCGTCTATGTTATCCATCATTTCCAATACAAAAAGATCAGTAGCTGAAAGAGAAAAAATAACCCGAGATCAGTTCAGCTATAAATCCAGCACGATAAATTAAAATTTGTAAGGAGGTATCTTGGAGAAGACCAAATACAGAGATGTTATCAATTATTAAACCTAATTCGTTTAATACATATTCAGACAAGTGTCGTCATTTATATTTAATAATACCTTTTGTATAATACCTACCTAAGTAATAAGATATAGGATCTATTAGTATTTACGGTTCCAGTCGATATTAGACAAAACGTAAAATGTTCTATACATATTAAGTAAAAACATCGGATATTAGCACTTTATTACCCTATATAGATATGGATTGGCCTAAGTTAAGCACAAACATTTAATAAAACCTCTTTGTAAGTGTAAAAATTAAAAAAATATATGTATTTGCAGTATTTCCAGCTTCCAGCTAGCAGCCATTGACTTTTGAATTGACAGTTGATCGACGGCAGACCAGTGTTGCCAACTCTTTGTCAATCGTCCTACTAGATCAAACTGAAAATCCTACTAGAATTTTCTAAAATAATACTAAACTTAAAAAAAAATCCGTTTTATTGAAAAATGCACATTTTTTAAAATATAACAAAACCTAATGTTAAAAACTATGTTAATAATTTAAGTTAAATGTCATGTTGCTCCTCAAAAGGCTCCAAAACCTCTAATATATCATTAAACTCTTGGTATTCAGAATTGGGGGTGCTTTTATCTGCATTTGACAATGGGTTATATGCGGCGAGTGTTCCTACTTTTACGAGAGCTCCTGGAGGGAATTGATACGTTGAGCAACATTTGTTAAGCCTTCTTAGACCAGCGCGGATGGTGAGGATTGCAATTAATGTCTCATCGTTAAAACGGTTTCTGTGTGGCGATTTCACAATGTTCATTTGACTAAATGATCTTTCGATTTCCGCGTTTGACCAAGGAAGAACAAGACATGTTATTGCAAAATTAGCCAGTTCTTGGAACGGATTCTCGTATGAAGCATCCTTGTACTGCAGAACTTCGGCCCAAAATGGAACAGTCTTGTCAATGTTTGTCCATTCAACAAAATTAATTTTTAACCATTGAAAATCGATTTTTGTTATAAGGTTTGTGGGTACCTTCATCAGTTTAGCTAGATTCGTTATTGGTGGTTTTACAGTACGTAAACATTTTTCTGGGCAAAGCAAGGATACTTTCTCTAGCACTTCTACGTTATCAGGAAGGCGTACCTGCAATCCTTTCACTAGTGCTATAATAAAATCGATACATCTCGATCGAATTATCTTTTCCTCGTCAACATTTAGTTGGTTATTCTTACGCACTTCCTTCATTTTTTCCTCAAATGCAAATCCAAGATTAGGTTTGGGGTGAAGATAATTTCTGACATTTATTGTCAGAAAGTTTTCCTTGCATCCAGAAATTACTATTCGCATAACTAGACCCTGAATAAGCATAGTTAAGCTTTTTAAGAGTTTTGCTGGGTCGTTTTCATTCATTTGAAAAACCTTATTGACCTGCAAAAAGCGAAATGAAATACATTAATTATTCCAAATAAAAAATTAAAAGTAATACTTTTTGAGCTTCTTCTAGAACTGGTTGCAAAAAAAGTAAGTAGAGCTCATTGCGAATGTCTGAATACATTGCAAACAAAACTTCGGAAGTGTAGCATTTATCTTTGCCTTTCCAAAACTCAAAATGCATACGCAGCTCTTGCCACTGTTCTAGGATTCGATTAACTGCAACATAGATAGATAGCCAGCGGGTAGCAGCAACTTTTGGAATTTTTAAAGGATCTTTCCCATCGTTAAGGGTGTTATATAATATTTGAAAATGGCCCTGACGATCAGCTGATCTAAAATGTAATTAAAGAGTAGCATGAGATGCAAGATATCAAATAGTGTTTAAGCATTACACAGTACACTACTCTACATATTACCTAGAAAACCATGCATATGTATCACCAATCAAAAATTCCAGATTTTTTGGCAGAGCTTCTTTGACGGCATCTGAAACTGCCAACTGAACAGAATGACACACACAGCGAACGAGAATCAGGTGAGGAATGTCCTCCTTAAGTTTTTGATAGACTCCATTATTGACTCCTTTAACAAAATTTTATATTATACAATGTCGTATAGATAATCTAATTATTTAAAATAAGTCTAAAATACCTGTCATGACGGATGCATTATCAGTTCCTAAGCCCCGCATATTTTTCAACTCCAAGCCAAACTTCTGCAAAACTTCTTTTACAGCTTGGACTATTGAAATTGCATCTCCTTTTTCTAAATTTTGAAGTGTTAGAAATGTAGAAACATCTTTGAATTTAGTCTCCGAAAAATATATAATACTTACTCCAAGTTGTTTTGTAACATTTATGTCAGTAGATTCATCTATTAAAAGGCTATATGGACTATTACCTATATCTTCACGTAAGTCTGATTTAAAATGTGGAGCGATTACATTTTTCACAAGAGCAGTGCACTTAGTGCGTGCTAGATGGATATTGTCAATATCTTTTGCAGTCTTAAAAATCCTTTTATTTAATTGCACAAGATGATCCACATTGCGTAAAGCACAGTGACTTGTGACAAATAATGTCATTCCACTTTCGGCTTCCGCTGTCTCTTCTATGGTCTTTGACACCGGTTTAAAAGGAATTTTGGGCTGCCTGAAGGAAGAAAAGGGTTTCGCTGCTGAGACGTGCTTTTTAGTTTTTGTGTGTTCACTAAGCAAATTATAATGAGCTTTCAAATTACATTTACAAAACTTGCAATGTGCCAAGTTTGGATCCGACTGAACAGGTTGAATCCAATCTTTAAAATCCGGCACTGACTGCCATTCGGATCTGTACTTTTGCGTGTAGGGTTTGGTTTTTGGCATTTTAATTTCAAACAGCTATTCAAAACTACAATAATGGAAACCTACAGTATTTTTAATACTATTTTTAATAATCATATTTAAATAAGCGGTAGTATATTATAATATGAAACTTAAAAATAAAAACTTACCAAATTAAAACTGTAAACAGATTATATAGGTGAATCCCCGGGTCCCGGCCATGCAGCCGATTATGGGAATTTTTATTATTATAGGGATTGAGAGTATTGTTCACAGATGTCGCTAGCATAATGATTTTAATAAAGTCCCTAGTATATATCTAGGGACTTTAGATTTTAATTTACAAATATGTTTGAGTTGGGATTGTTGGGAATTCACAATGTAAGTTATTATAACGAAACCTACCAAAAATCCTACTAACCTACTAATGATAAAATTTCCTACCGAGGCCTCTGCAAAACCTACTAGATTTAGTTGGTTTCCTACCGAGTTGGCAACACTGCGGCAGACGGCAGTGACACCACAGATTCGGTATACTGTGCTGAAACTTTACTTTAGGGATGTTTGACTTAAATCGATTCTTCAGAAAATCGATCTTTTGACACACGATTCCTGATTTTTTGAATCAATTATTCTGTATTATTATTATCTACCTGAAATATTAAAATAAACATCAGTTTTTTGAACAGTTTAATAATATAGTCATATAAAATCTTAGGAAAATGTAACAATAAGAGGTTAAAAAATAATATAAAGTAATAATTGTTGTTCTCACCGTAGCGAGTAGCTATTTCAAAACACAAAATAATTTGGCAGCTGCTACTAACCACTAATATCTTAAAATTTTATCTTCTACTCCTATCCATGCCCATATATTTATTTTTTCAATTTCCAAGATTTTCTTGACTTTATGGTGAAGGAAGATACAATTGGATTGAGATTTCCGGCCAAAGCCATCTCGTCATATTAAAAAATTACTTCAGAATGTAATGATAATTTAAAAAAATTGTAAATTGACTGTTATCAATTCATTTCACTCTTAAAAATTAACCAAAGCATGTACTGACATGAACCAAAAAACAAAATGCTCAGGAATCATGGTTCTGACCGTACAATTATAATTTAGGGAAATATTGCAATAAACACACGAAATTATTGCACAGGATGTTTTAAAGTTAAGGTTATAAAACAACCCCTCGATTAACCGTGTATAATATGCCAAATACTAAAGTTTATAAAAAGCTAAGTTTACGAATTAAAGTTGATATAATTATATTATGCAGCTTGCTACAAAATTCATGAAAATAGGGCTAAAAATAACAAAAATATAACACTTTAAATTTGACCAAAAATTTCTCTGTTGCGTTTTTATTTGCATCTGAGTGCGTATACTTAAAAAGATATTTGGTGCTCGTCGTGCACCTCTGTCTTCATAATCGGAGCGACATCTTCGGGTTCTGTTTTTATAAAATCTCTGTTTACGCGCGTGAATATTCTCTTCACAATGCGTATCTTTATCCATTGAACGTCAGACGTCATCGTCGGGTTCCATTTTATAAAAATCTCTCATTTCCACATTTCTGGAGTGGTGATCTATTTCAAAGAATATGCAACTGAACGAAGTACAACAA